GGATTCTGGGAGGAGAGAAACTGCAGCGAGGAGAACTACTTCGTATGTGAGAGTCAAGGTGAGACAACACCCAATCTGAGAGTGAGTGCCGAGTTTAACTTTAGAACACAAGAATGAGCAGGAAACGGGAAGAGCTCTGGTGCAGTGCATTCTGGTATCTGTAGTCTTGTCACACTTTGCCGTCTATTTGCAATGCATCAGGGGAAATGTAGTCCTAAGGTACAAGATCACCTATATACACCAGGTTAGAAACGCAGATTTTAATACAGAATTTTTCACCTGGGATCATCCTGTCGTGTCAAAAGCCCTATCCGGGCCTTTTACCTATAGATTTTTAATCTATACATTAATCTTATTTCTTTATTTCAGGAAACTGTCACTTAACACAAACAACTCAGTATCACTCAGTATCGGTATAAACAACTCAGTATCACAGAGCAGTCGTTAGTCGTGAACATCTTGTGGTATCAGAGGGGGTAAACACAACACAGGGAGCTCTGTATCACAGTGAGGAATTTATTGTCCTGAGGCAAATAGAGGCACAAAAACAATGGAAAACTGTTTATGCTGTAAATTTAGTTTTAAATAAAAACAAATCTCTTCCTTCCAGCTAGCATGTTGGCTTTGGAAAGCATGTTTACACTGTTTCAATTAAAACACTTCTCTATAATTATAGACGGTTAAAACAAGCTTTGCTCAAGCAAAATATATTGAGATATACAATAGTAAAAGGGATTGAAACTGCAAATTATTTTGTTTGAAGCTTGTCTTAACAGATCACCTAATCTTTTAGATAAGAGAAAGGAATCAAAATTAATCTTTAGCTTGTTCATTCTTTATTGATCTGATAGTGTGTATCAGGGGGTCTTCACTCTGATTGCTAGAAAAAAATAATAATACTGAGAGCTTGTTCTCAATTGATTCATGTGACTCAAAGGTTCAATAAAGAGAAATATTCACAAAATATTATTGGTTACAAATACTTTTTCTAAGGTGGTCTGACACCTCTAGGCTATAAAGTAATGTATCCTAATCAGGATGACTGTGGAACTGTTGTCCACTCTGTGCTTAACCAAGTTTTACAAAGGGCACAATCTGAGATTGAGAGCTGTTTAACTATAGACCGGAATTAACAGGAAACAGGAAATGGCGGTGTGCAAAGCACTGTGGGATTTGTAGTCTCACAGCTGTACACACCTTCACTCCTGATCTTTGTCTTCACAGGTGGGGGACAGCAGTACAGGCTGATCAGGGAAAACAAGACCTTCGCTG